ATTAACCATTTGATGATTATGAATAAGATTCATATTAATTATATATCATAAACCATTAGAATTATTAAAAGAAGCACAAATATAAAAAGAACAACCACATCGTTGAGATTTTTGATTTCGTTCTTTGTTAATTAAATTTTCATCTTCTGAGTCATATTCTTTTAATCCAGAATAACCAGCTCGAGAACATAATAATGTTCTTTTTCGAATTTTTTTTTCTGTAATAATTTTTTCTTTTTCTTTAGAAATTTTTTTAGAATTTTGATTTTTGATAATATTTAAATATTCAACTTTTCCAAGTCTAATAATAAAACCAAGTTTATGTGCATAATCTTTGATTTTATTAACAAACTCATCATGACTCTTGAATATGTCATTAACTTGAGGTTGATAAATTTGAATAGAAGTTTGAACTTCATAGTTTTTGTGATACAAAAAAAAATTTACTATATAAACAACTTTAAACCGAAATTTTTATTGCAACACGAAGACACGAATAAAAGGTAAAAAAAAATTTATGATGTAAATATAAATATATGCAGATCATGTATTAATATAGAATTTCTAAATTAAGTTACAAGCCTAGATTAACCAGTCTGAACCCTGGGGGTCTAGGATAAGCAACTTGAACCCCCCGGTCTAGGTTAAGTTTTCTCTTAAAGAAATCGAAATAACAAAAACACGTGAGAACTAAACAAGTTTAATTCGTTTTTATCTAGTAAACTAATTTTCTATTTTCTATTTGTAATGTATTATTATTAGCACTTTTTATTCAATAAAAATATAATAGTAAATATGTAAGAATCTAAGTTTGTTAGATAATTAAAACTAAGAAATGTAAATTCATTTCATTTTTTCCACCTATAACTATCCTTAAATTGTTCTTAGTGTTTTTTCTTACCCTTTTTTGTGGTCACAATTTTAAAAGCACCAGCACTATTCACCGAATGATCATCCTTTGTATTACTATTATTAGTTCCTATTTCTTTGCTTGATTTTCCTTCTGTATGTGTATTCAATAAACTACTTAATGGCAAACCACTAGCGTCTGCCTTACGCCTCTTGACAAATTCATCAGCAAATCTTCGACCATCTAGAGTTGACGAATTAGCGTAAATCGAATCTTGTATGATCTCAATAGTGGCGGGAGGAGGGTCAAGTGGGAATGTAAGCAACATCTGAATAAATTCCTCAACTATTTAAGAAAAATATCGAATGTTTTAATACATTAATTTTATTTATAATATCAATGGATAAAAAAAAAATTGATCAGAAATTACCGTTCACATCATTCAACCCACGTAAAGTTTGACGACACCATTTTAAAAATTCTTCCGAAGGAGAACGAGGTGCAAAATGTTCATTGGAATTGTTAGCATTAATAACACCGCCGTTGCCTGAATTCTTTGACAAACTCAAGTTGACAGAAGTTGCTTTATTACTATTTTTTAAGTTTTCTGATGGCTTGTTTAATTGACTTTGTGATCTAATTTAAGAACAATGATATTTAATTAATACCGGGAGAAGTCTTTATTAAACACAAATATAATTTTATGTAATTATACCTTAAACCATTTATACCCTTATGCGAATCCATATCCCAAGCTACGGCAGAATCTTTTCCGCTGGGCTTTATCACATTTATAGTAGCATTATTAGGTTGAGGAGATACTGCTGTAATTGCACGATTGCTTGACTTGCTAGCAACAGTTGTCCAGGCAGTGTTCATAGAAATGGATCCGGGTTTCTATAAGGTTAATAAAAAGTTATGTCAAAAAATTTTTATTATAATTCATATTTCTTATACAAAGTTTGATGCTTACCTTTGCTGTGGCTACTGTATCTGCATAGCGTTTTCCCATACTATTTGTGGCAGCTGATCCAGCTCCAGAATTAGATCCAAGTAAAGCTTGTTGCTGCATTTCACGTATCCTGTTACGTCTTTTCATTGCTTCTTCCTCTTCTTTCTGAATTTCTCTAAGGGTTTTTTTAGGAGCAGAATTGTTTGACTGCCATGCTAGTGTAGTAACAACAGGAGAAGTAGAAAGAGAAGACGAACTAGATGTATTAGATGAATTTTGACCAATGATTCCCCAAGTAGAATTTGAGGGTGTTATTTCTTCCTTTGAATTCATAACGGTGGAATGAGTAGTAACCGCAGCAGCTTTACGTTCAGCGGCTTTGCGAGCTTCCATTTCTTGAATTTCGCGTAGTGAAGGAGTTTTGTGAGTACCGTGATCATCATCTTTCGCCCATGGAGCCGATGAAGGAGTGACAGGACTATTATTTCCCCATGACAATCCATTCTTTAGTGGTTGAGGTGTCTTGACAATAGTTTGATTGGAAGTTTGTTGAGCCAATTTTTCTTTTTCTTGCTTTTTTTTGCGTTGCTCCTCTTCAGCCTGAATCTCTCGCAGTGAGGGTTTTAAACGATACGATTCTTCCTTCTGAATAAAATGCGGATGCATTTCATTGGTAATGTTTTTTGAAGGTAGTTCAACTCTTTGTTCGCTCATTACCTTTTCATCCACCTTTTTTGAAGAGATCTCATCTCCGAGGATAGGTTTTGTAATAGATTCAACCACATCATTAATTTTACGATCAAAGGACGGATCTTGACTATTTCCATCCATGATGTCATATTGTCTCTCGCTATGTCGACTAGAAATCTGATCATTATGTGACGATTTTTGTAATCCAATATTGTTTTCTTTTCTCACACTGAAATATCCGATCTCATCTGACTGTGGAACACGCGAAGAAGTAGATCCGACAGGTACTCCCCATGGTGATAAGGGAGTTGGTTGTTCAGCAGACGTTGTTGGCCAACCTGCAGATCTCGTTAAAGCGTCAACAAACGGAGGATTTGGCGCATTGGTAATAGGAGCAGATACAGGCCCAGATATTCCTATATAACTTTGTTGTTGCTGCCTAATAAAAGTGTCTGGATAAGCATGTTGATTTTGTTGTAATTGTCTCTGTTGGAGCATCATATATTGTTGACGCTCAATCTGGGAGGATAGTGCTCGTTGATGATCCAGATAATTTTGAGGTGGTGAAACATTGAAGGAAGCAGCATTATTGTTAAATAGAGGTGGTGAATTAGGAGCTTGCACACGAGGAGACAAAGTTTCGTTGTTAGGTGTGAACCCTTCTGCTTGTCCCCATGCATTATTTGAAGAGTTCAGATCTCCCCATCCGCCCCCATTAGAAACGTCATTTCGCCCAAAGACGCTACCAAACTGATATCGATCAAATGGTGTATTTGGCACCGAAGTCGTTCCACCAAAAGGATTAAATCGCTGTTGATTATTATCCAAAAACAACTGTGCCGTACTGGGGGAATTAGGAGCAACCCAAGATCTTTGGAATGGATCATTAACCAAACGTGATGAATTATTAGGCATAGAAATAGTTAAAGGCGGCCTTGAACCAGGTATTGGCGCAGAAAAAGGCCTTTCATCATCACCTGTCTTTCGTATCAAGGCACCTAAAGGTTCAAACGCAGTATCTTCAACCCTTTTAACCAAAAGACTATGAACAAAAAATCCACCCTTATACCATTCATTCATTTCTTGACTACTAAATGGCCCTAAATGATTTTATTAAAATGATCATTACTATGTAAACCTTCAAATAACAGCTAAAAATTATTTAAAAAATTGTAACCAACCTTGAATATTACCACTTGGATCACGGTACAACCATTTATATTGCTCGGGCATTACTTTTCTTGGTTCAGCATTTATTCCTGTACCAGAAAAAAGACTTGCGACCCCAGAATTGCTATCACCAAAAACATTACCAGTTCCAATATTTGAATGTGCGGAAGTAAATTTACTAGTTTTAACTGTTGGGGATAATGGTGGTGTATTACCTCCTAAATTTGAATAAGCGAACGCTTCCTTCAACACATCATCATCTTGGTCAAGGTCAAAACGATGAGGCAACAATAGTGATTGGTGGTGATGTAGCAATTGCTGTTGACGATGTTGATGTTGATGCTGTTGTTGTTGTTGTTGCTGTTGCAGTAATTCTTGTTGATCTTGTAATATTTTTTTTTGTTGCTGCTGCAATAATAACTGTTGCTGTTGCTGCTGTTGCTGATGTTGTTGCAATTGTAACTGTAACTGTAATTGTAACTGCTTCTGTTCATTTTCTTGTCTTTGTTGTATTTGTAACTGTCGTTGTTGCTTTTCTTGTTTATATGGTCCCTTATCCTTATCTTGATGAAGCTGCAATTGTTGCAATATTAAATTTTGTTGTTCCAACGTTAATTGTTCATTTTCTCTCTCTAATTCAAGTTCATGATCATTATCATGTTCAAGTTCTCGTTCAATGTCTTTTTCGTCATCTTTAGATTCGCAATAATCTTGTTGCCGTGACAACTGATGATCTTCTTCATGTCTTTGTTGCGAACGTTGAAACGAATCTTGTTCCTCTTGGTGAAATTCTGTTTGATTCTGATGTAATGATGATCCTTTAGTTTCTTGATTCGGGTGGCTTTGCGAACCTTGCCAATCTTGTAAAACTTCATCTTCATGAACTTGATATTCTTGTTGTGTTTCCTGCTTAAGACCAATTTGCATCAAAGTGTTTTCTTGCAAATCTTCCGTAAACTCATGTCTTGTGGGATCTTCAATGTCATTCATAGATTTATTGTTCATTTCTTTTCGTTCTGATTTGGACGTCACAATTTCATTTTGGGACGAATTATTGTAGGAATTTGTATCTGATCGGTCGGACGGATTTTTCTTTTCAAGCTGCATTGGGAATACATAATGTCATACCAGCTTGATTTCTTAAAATTAGATTTTCAATCATTCGCTCACTAACCTCTTGCTCGATTTTCTTGCCACGTTCGGTATCCTCTTTCTTAACTTTATCTAAAGTTTCATCATCTACGTTGTTTCCAGGGATTCTGAAAACCCCATTATCAAAAGTTCCTACAGCATGTCGTGTAACACCATTCCAACCTGGATCATCAACTGATGTTGAATTGAGAGATCTAGGTGGACGACTGCTGCGAGGACTTGTTCGCCCACTCAGTACTCCGCCTATAATACCACCGAAACGTTCGCTTCTGGGTGAAGTTAGTCCACTACTAATATGTTTCTCGCCACGAGGAGAAAATGGCACTCTTTCTCTCTCTATACGTTCACTTCCGGTAACCGTTCCAACCGACGCATTGGAAACAATACGTCGGGTAAGTTCACTATTAACGGACACGCCTGATAAAAGCTGAGGAGTTTTTTTTTTTTTGTGATTATTAAATAAAGATAAAACAATAATAAAAAAAAATTAATAATAATAATATTAATAATATAATAATTTATTTAAAATATTTAATGAAATAAAAAATTGTAAGTTTGCTCAATGAACATTTTGTACATTGATTAATTAATTAATCCATGGTATTATAAAACCAATCGAAACGAAATTTGATTGTAAGTTTTCTAAAAAAAAATAAAAAAAAAAATTGTTTCTTGTATATAATATAAAATATCCAAAGTGTTTTATACCTTTTGTTCCTGTTCTGTTAGCACTATCATGGCCATTGGTTGTATTGCTTCCTCACTTGTAACATATTCATGTCTTTCAAATTCCAAAGGCAATCCTACTGGCTTATATAATTTGAGCATAAATTCCTTTGAATATTTGAAAGGGTTTAATGCAGATTCACCCGCACCGGGTACTTCAGATTTCTCGGACATTTCGTTAAGAATTGAACGATTTGACGTAGTATTGTTGCTATTAGCAGCGGCCACCGAAGACCAAGAAAATGTACTTGTTCCATTACTATTTGTATTATTTGTAAGATTTGTATTGATATTTGCACTTGCAGAAATGGTTGACGAATTGTTCGTTACATTAGATGAAGACAAAGAAGTAGGAGAAGTGGAACGATTGCTGTCGCTCGTCGGAGTCTTTGGGAAACGTCTCATCCTTTTAGAATTAAAATTATTAAAAATTAAAAAGCTTACTGAATTTTCAAACCTTTTATTTAATTCTAAGGGAGAAAATTCAATACTTTATTTTATTTATTCAACTTACCATTCCGGTCCGAAGTTCATGGTATTGCTTGTAGCCATTTTTATTTGGAAAGTTTTTAAAAAACGAGGTTTAACGGAAGAATTTTTTTCGATTCACTTTTTTAGAAATCAAGTACTGTTGTTATTAACAGCGTTTAAAAATAAATTTGCGAAAAAGTAAAGCGAAAAAAAAAAAAAAAAAAAAAATCTGCGTTTAAATATCATTGGAGGATTTATACAATCACGTTACTACATTAAATCAAAATTTTCAATATATTATTTTTATTTTATCAAATGATATCACAAAATTATTATTCTAATATACATACAGAGCGACAAAATAAATTTAAATACAAGGCATTACTACTAATAAGTGAATAATAATTATTTTTACTTCACTTCTAGCGAAATGTTTCATTTTAATAATCTATAATATTAACGCATGTCATAATTACTTATCCTTCTTGTCCGAAATCTTCTGTGAATTTCACATGTTGACTAATATCATCTGCATTAACTGTAGGCCTGGCAATTTTTATGGCTTTTTCGAAATCCTTCAGAGTTAATTCAGGTTCTAATAATTCATCAGACTTCACCTCCATCCATGTCATTTCTTTAGCGTCAACGTCCCCAGGTGAACAAGGAGTTAAATATGTTTTAATGACTTTAGGATCTTCAAAAGAAGGTGCTTCTTTCTTTAAAATCCAACATTTATCAATGAAGTCATTAGCGTATAATTGCATGATACAAAATTCGAAATTTAAAAGTGTAACATACCGATTTGAAATGTGTTGCAGTTTGAACTTTCCGAATAGGTTGCATTAAGGCATCACGCACTACAACGGCAATGTCAGAACCCGAATATCTATAATTACAAAATTGAGCATTGAAAAAAAAAAAAGTGAAATCAAAATACTGAAAACGTGAAAGTCATACCCTTCCGTCATTTCGGCCAAATATTTATAGTCATTCACTGTCAAAGTACAAGGTGTGTTACCAACATTTAATTCAAACATTTTAGCCCTTGCAGATGATTCTGGAAGTGGTATGTAAATTCTTTTTTCAAATCGTCGCCTAATGGCACTGTCCAACTGCCAAGGAGTATTTGTTGCACCCAACACAAGGACTCCAGTTGGGTCATTTCCTACACCGTTCATCTGAACAAGGAACTCTGTTTTAATTCTTCTACTTGCTTCACTTTCCCCTTCACCACGTTGTCCACAAAGCGAATCGACTTCATCGATAAAAATAATAGCTGGTTTACTCTCACGAGCCATTGTAAAAAGGCTCTTAACAAGGCTAGAATTCTATCAATAATTAGTGCCTTATTTCAAAACAAATGCTCAAAACTTATTTCAAATATAAATTATAAAGTTTGAAAATAGATAAATCTATAATAATTACCGTTCACTTTCACCCATATATTTGCTCACCAAATCAGAAGATGAAACTGAAAAAAAAGTAGAATTTGCTTCAGTAGCAACTGCTTTTGCAAGATAGGACTTTCCGGTGCCGGGAGGGCCATATAATAAAATGCCCGACCATGGTTTCCGTTTGCCTTATAACATGAAGTTAACAAACAACATATTTATTCGGTGAAATCATAAACCATGTGATAATAGTAAATATCTACCAGTAAATAATTGAGGAAACTTGATAGGTAAAATAACAGCTTCCTTTAATGCTTCTTTAGCTATTTCCAATCCAGCAACATCATCCCAACGAATATCAGGCTTTTCGGTCAAGATAGCACCTATGAGTTAAAGTAAATTATATAATTTCGGAACTATCGAGTAATTTATTTAAAAGTTTTATATAATGTAATTACTTGTCAATGCTCCTCGTAACTTTTTGTTTTCTTCATCATCATCTTCGCTGGTACCATTTTTCTTTCTGTAAATAAATTAATATTAAGATGTAATACACGAGAAATTTTTTATTTTGAAAATTAAAATCATACAGACCTCCCCTTTCCACCGTCATCCCCATTTGCTTTAATAGCCTTTTTAGAGCTTTCTTTAGATTTTTCTTCTTTACTGTTTAAATATTCCTTTAATTTTTCAGCTCGATTGAGGTATTCGATAATCTTCTTACGTATAGAATCTTTTCTTTGTTCATTTTTCTCATCTATTTATATATTATAATTATATAGATTTTATAAGCGAGAAAATTTGATGTGGAATTAACACCTATAAAGCTTATTTATATATATGAAAGAGATTAAGAAATTTAAATAGACCAACTTTAAATGAACAATACATACATTTTAACGCCTTCATGAAATAGTCTAAAGCATTATTATAATTTTTATAGGCCTGTTCGTATTCTCCTTTACTGTCTTCATCGGTAGCTTTTTTAATTATTTCTACGGCTTTCTAAAAGTTATCGTTGTGAAGAGAATATTCGATTTATTGAAAAATTTATAATTCAAATTATAAGACGGAATAAAAATAATATTTTATTATTTACATCAATAAAGTTACAATTGGCCATTATTTTGTGAGTTGATAAAAAACAAAACTATACTCGTGTTCGTAAAATCACTTCGGAAGAAACAAAAATATTAAAATTAAATCGAATTAAAAAATTTTTTACCATAAATATAAACACGTGACAGCACATAGATATAAATAACCCGAATCATCGGGGTACATGAACTTCAAAAAATGTCATTCCGCAGCTTTGATATTGATTCTTTAGACGAAGACATATTAGCTCAAGATGAACTTTTCGTTTTCTCTAATGGAGTTGAAATTACCCCAGAAAACGCCTCAAAACATGTCAAAACAAAAGGAATTGAGGTTAGGAACCAACTAACAAGGTAAACTTTTAGGAAACGGTTTATATTAAAGGAGAAAATTTCTTTATTTTAAAATATTAATAATTTCTGCCTTCCCTTCAGGGGTGACACAGCTAATGCATTGATAACGGCAATAGAAAGTCCTCCGTACGGAGTTCACACAATAGATGCTAAAGTATGCTTGCTCAATCAATCATATTCAATAAACCTTTAAAAAAAGTTTTCATCTATATTTATAATCAATTGATTTAATTAGGATCAAAATACCAAAATTGTAATGGATGTTCTAAATTCTATTAAAGCTACCGATATTCCATCGTTAGTGAAATTATTATCTAGGGAACAGCAAGATATCTTAATGAAATATATTTATCGAGGGATGTCGTCGCCCGATTTATACAATTCAACTGTATTATTGAATTGGCATGAGAAGGTTAGAATGCATTGATATTCCTTTGATTAAGATTTGCTTGTCAAAAAATGACAATTTAATTTTAAAATATCATGTTTAATTTTAGCTTACTGAAGTTGCTGGTGTAGGATGCATCGTTCGTGTAATTACAGATCGAAAGACCGTTTAAGTTGAAAATTGTATAAATATGAACAAGAACAAATTTTTTGAATTTGAATAAGAAATGTGATAATAATAATGATAATTATCATACATTTAAAAAATAAATATTAAACTATTATGTATTAATAATTTATAAATAAATTACATATAATCAAAGTGTTTCTGAATTGGTTGAATCAGTAAAATCACTGAAATCACTAAAATCATTTGGCGAGGGGGTCCTTTGACTATTTTGTTTTTTTCTAATGAAGGCAGCAGAAGGTGGAGGCGGTAAAAGAGGAACAGCTGTTATATTTCCGTCTACGTTTTTAGTATGTTTTGACTGATGTATATTTCGCGTATTATGCTATATTGAAACAATAATTCGTCCATATTAGAAAATTATTTTTTTTGCAGGATTTAGAAAAGGTAATTCTCAATAATGTTATTACATTGCCAATTTTTATGTTAATTGTTTGCCCTTCCTTCAAACTATAATCTTTCTTTGGTTCTTGTGAAGCATTCTTAGCGTCTGCCACCTCCTTTTCTATTTTAAGATGTCTAATGATACAGGTGTAATGTTAATTCTTAAAAAAAAAAAAAAAAAAATTAAATAAAAAATAAATTACTTGATATGATCTTGTAAAGCTACTTGAAAATCAAACGCTTCAGAACGTTCTTGAAATCCCATGCCTATAAATGCATGTCGTCCATTATCTTCAACACGTAACACAAAATATCTACTTGAATCACGTACAGGTTCAACTGTATTGGTATCGGGATCATATATACACTGTGCGAATAATTCTCCTGATATAATTAGTAAATTTAGATAATATAAAATTCTCTGATAAATTATTTAATATTGAAAATAATCTACCTGTGGTCTCATCTAATTTAATAATACATTTTTCCCCTATCGAAACAACTCTTAAACGACCTTTCCATAAAAAAGCTTCCATATCACCCCATTCTGACGCTCTAAAGTATATTGAAAATATAAGCTATATTTATGGATATTCTCGATGTTTATTAAGAACTTACTTATATTCTCGACTAGATGTTCTCGGTGGAATTTGATATACTAAAAATTCATAATATAGGTTCAGCGTATTTAAATAATATAAAAAAATTTTTAGGACTCTCATTAAACTTACCATAACATTCACGAATTACTAACAGTACACTTTCGTATTCGTCTGACATAGAAATAAAAAAAATGAATACGTTGATCGTATTCTATTTTACAAATATCAAATCGAAAGGTTTGTTTTGACTTCTATTGGGCAAGTTATTTGGGTTGAAATTAAAAGACGCGCTAGTATATTTATGGATAATGCTAAGCCACAGATCAACGATATATAACTTGAATTTTTTTAATCAATCATTTTATTTATAAATAACGAAATTTTGTCGCTGGACAAAATAATAGTTTTGAAACGCAATGAAAAATACGGTGCGTTTTAACACCTTTGAAGAAGGGGAAGAACGCAATGAAACTCACTCGATCTCGGGAAATCCTAATCGTCGTAATCATGGTAGATATAACTCGCATATTCGAGGTCAGATCTTTGTTTTGCTTGGGTTCGATGAGTTTCGAAAACAAGAATTAGAAAACGAAATTTTGCATCATGGTGGGAGGATCTCACCTATGTTTAGTAGACAGGTAATTTTTAATCTAATCGTTATATTGTCTGTTGCTTTAAATTAATTTATTTGTTAGGTTTTTTTTTATTCACATATATTTATTAAATAATATACCCTTATTTCAAAACTTACAGACGAATTTTCTTGTAACAACTAGTACATATTATAATAGAAACTTTAGTGAAATTGATGAAATGGTCAAGATTAACAATATACCTGTCATTTCTGATGAATGGATTTATACAGCAATAGCAAGTAATGATGTATACGAGGATATCAGGTAAATATCAGTTGTCATATGATCTTTGATTATTAAATAACCATATTTTCGATTAAAATTTTTTTTTTAAAAAATAAAAATAAATATAAAAAATAGTGATTCAAATCGTGGCATACTACACATTAATACTTATGATGATGATTATGATGATGAAGAAGATGACCCTGATGATCATGGGAGAGAACATGAAAATGATATACGTCACAAACATAATGCAAATGACAGAAGGCGTCCTTTGCAAAATCAAAACAATGGAAAACAGAGTAAAAATGATTTTGATTGGGACCAAGACTCTAATGATTCAGATGATTTAGATATTAATAGACCTATAATGAATGATTTTCCAAATGTAGGAGAGAATGAAAATCCTGAAGAAATTGATTCAACTACGAATCCTACACCAGTATTATCTCATGATATGCAAAGTGAGAGAATGGAATGGCAGAGCTTTTTGTCATCCGTGCTTACCGGTGAAGTTATTAAGTCAGAAAAACGTCGTTTGTCCGGTTCAAATTCTAAAGCAGCAAATATAAGTTCTCAAATTTGGTTGGGAATCCGTGCTATAACGCGTGGTCATACTCCAGCGGAAGAAAAGTTGATTATTGAAGAGACACGACAATCAATTGATAGTGTACTTAAAGAAGTTATTGAATTCGAGGTAAAACCTGGTGATATACCTGCTCTTGATCAGGTAGCTGGGATACTTCAAAGAATTGATGCATGCGAGAATCTTTATTATTCACGTAAAGCAATGATGGCCGATAAACCTTTATATAAGTCTCAAGAATTTCAATATAGTTTGGATGCTCTCAATTCATGGCTAACGGTAACTCGTAGTTTACAAACACAGCTAAAAATTCTACAAAATTGGACAGGGAGTGATACTTTGGAGATCACCCGACCAAAAGAAGTTCCAGCTGATGCAGAAAATCCTTCGTTTCTTGAACGAATATTAAAAGAAAATAGTTTGAAACAAACTTTTGAAAAACGAACTCTGGCCACGTTAAATTCTCTTTTATTAAAAGCAAAGTGTGTAATGATTGAGAATGCTGTTGCTTTTTCTAAAATGAAATTACCTCCTTATATCAATGAATTACGACAACTTCTTAATTTTCCAACGAAACTTATGGAAGAATGTATGAAATTATTACTTACTTATTCTAGCCGTTTATCCGAGCCCACCATTTTAATGGTTCAGCAGATGATGGAAAATTTACGGATTTCCCTTTCATTAGCTTGTCAAATTAAGCATCAATATCATGAGCTTATTAAACCTGCAAAAGGATGGGATATTCCTCCATGCATTGATGAAAATTATAATACAGTTTTGTTAGACTCATTGAAATGTTACTTTAAGTTGTTGCAGTGGAAACTCAAAATTGGATATAAGGCCGTATCCTTTAAAGAAGCAGAAATCTTAGAAAATGAATGGTCATTTTTAAGTGGTATATGTCGTCATATTGTAGGAGGTGATTCTGAAACTGCTATACAATTTTGGTGAGTGTCATATTTTAGTGTTTAAAAAATTTTTAATGCGATAATATATATCTATATCTCTTTATAGATAGGAACTTTCTATCAAAAATTAAAAAAAAAAAAAAAAGTGGATCGGTTAATTAGTTAATAAAATGTTCACTTAATTCCACTTAATTATACCAATTTTTGTAGTTCTCTAACAAATAAATTGCTTTTGAGTGTCATGAATTATTATGACAAGGAGCTTGAATTACCTGAGAATTATGACCCTGCTAACATAACGAAATGGTATAATAAACTTTTGGAAACTGTACGTTTAAGAACGAGGAAATTGATCCGATTTACAAGGTTTAGTATTTTAAAATAAATAGATAAAGATTTATATTTTATATTAATCAATATTTTATTATTTATATAGATTTCTATTTGGTGAACTAGAAAACGCTGCCGAATATTTTATTGATGATAACAATTATCAAGCTTTTATCGATGGATTAGAACGAACTGGTCACGTTCTTGTGTACCCTAGCACTTTTGAAGTCGATGGTGTATGCTTTATTGTTGAACCATCGCTTCAGGATCGACCTCAACAAATACACAAGTTACTTACTTCTGTTCTCACATCTTATGAAAAAGGGCAGGATAATTTTGATGATGAATTAAAAGGACTAGAATACGTACTTATTTTGTCACCCAGAGTAGAATTTGTGTGGAAAGGTCATAATCAGGCCGTAGATATGGAACAGCTTAGTATTGACCTCAAAACTCCTCGTACAAGGCTAGTTGCCGATGGTGCTTACCCAAGGTTGCAAGCATGCAAACAACATTTTCGTAAAGCGGTTGAAGGTTGTGGTATTGAAGTTCTTTTTGAAACAAGAGCTAATGTGGCTTCTATTAATCGTGAGATGGCTAAAATTAAAAAAACCGTTTTCAAATTCGCTAATAAAATAATTGATAGCGTTTCGTTAATTAAGGAAAAAACAAAGGATAATGAATGTCAAGATTTAATCGAAAACTGTTTTAGTTTTGCTACTGAAATAGGTCAACGTTGTTTACGTTATATGCACCGAGATGCTTTGCGTGCTCAACTAAATGTTAAATTAACTCGGATGGCCATAGATTGGGTTAGTTTTATATGTGATCATTGTATTGCTACAGATCGCAAAACATTTAGATGGGCCGTTATTGCATTAGAATTTGCAATGGCAACAAATCGAGGAAACAACATTTTAGGTTTAACGGAAAGCGAATTTTCAATGTTACGTAGTAAAGTAGGAAATTGCATGAGGTTACTTATATCACATGTAGATATTATGGGAGCAAAATCATCCTCTGAAGCTTTAGAACGAGAGCGACAAGACATATCCGATCATTTGGTGCCATCACCACTTCGACACATTAACAATATTTATAGTGGTGAGGATCCTTTAATCATGAGAGATGAATGGATGGCCTCATTAAATGAATTGGAAGCTAAACGTTTCGCAAAAGAACAAGATCAACGTCTTGTAGGTAAAGTTCTTGATGATAATCAACCTGAAAATCGACCTTTAGTCTTTTTAGCATCTTCCAGTTCAAACATCTCCTTACGATGGCAACAGGGCAAATTTATCGGAGGGGGTACTTTTGGATCAGTTTATTTAGCTGTCAATTTAGATACTGGAGATCTCATGGCTGTCAAGGAAATACGCTTCCAGGATCCATCCTCACTTACAACGCTTTATAAGTCCGTTAAAGATGAAATGTCAGTTATGGAAATGCTTGATCATCCAAATATTGTTTCATATTATGGTATTGAAGTACATCGAGATAAAGTATATATTTTCATGGAGTATTGTCAAGGAGGTAGTCTTGCTTCTCAATTGGAACATGGAAGAATTGAGGATGAACGTGTAATTCAATATTATGTATATCAAATGTTGGAAGGGTTAGTGTATTTGCATGAAAACGATATAGTTCATAGAGACATAAAACCTGATAGTACGTTTTTTTTCTCTTTTCCTTTTTTTTTTTTTTCTAATTTCTAATTATTATTATTAAAATTTATATATCTTTTATCTTTTCCCATCATCAAAGATATACTTTTAGACCATTTGGGCGTGATAAAATTTGTGGATTTTGGAGCAGCAAAAATTCTTGCAAAAAATCAAAAAACCATGGGTAGGACCACATTGGCACCACCAAACTCCTCTAAATCCAATGTTCATAGCTTAACTGGTACTCCAATGTATATGGTTAGTTAAGCAAGGTTGATATACTAGTAAAATGTTCAACAAATTAATTGTTTATTTAAAAAATTTAGGCACCAGAAGTAATAACTGGAGGTGAAAAAGGCCGTAAAGGTTCTATGGATATATGGTCGTTAGGATGTTGTGTATTGGAGATGGCTACGGGGAAACGCCCTTGGTCAAATTTGGATAATGAATGGGCGGTTATGTTTCACGTAGTTACAGGACATCCATCTTTACCAGATTCTTCACAATTATCAGAGCAAGGAATTCACTTCTTAGAACAATGTTTTATTAGATCACCACAACAACGTCCTTCCGCTAAAGAATTACTAAGTCATCCATGGATTGACGCGGGTAAAGAACCAACTAGTACGACACCGTCAGGTGACTGGCCGATTAATGGTAGTATGGTGAGTACAAGTGGTACTAGCGGAACGAGTATCTCAAACTCAGCATCTGCCACGGCACTTAACAATAGTACTCATACAAATCCTTTTAGCATTATAACAACGCAAACAGTGGACTCAACAACGCAGAATTTAGATCAAGTTAAGAATGAAGAGTCAAGACATTTGTCGCCATCATTATCAGTGGATAACCATCAACAGATATTTTTGATAAAAGGATTACCATCTAGTACTTCAGTAATATCTGTTGAAAGTGAAGGTGAAGTTGGTATTAGTCGTACTCATAACTTTGTTGAAATTGAAAATAATAATCCGGTAGCATCAGTAATGTCAAACGGTGGTGATGATTGGAGTTTAATTGGCGGAAGCTTTTAACGAATAATTAATTAATGGTTATACAATATTATTTTTTTTTTATTTATATAATTTTTTATCTTATTTATTAATCTTAGAACCAAAATATCATGATTACCGAATTTTATTAATACTAGTTTGTATTATATGATGACAGCTTAATCGACAGATTTTCAGACATTTTAGGTTGTTTCTAATCATATGATAGATATATTCAAAAGGGATAATTTAAATTAAATCATTATTATAAAATTTTACATAATTTCCTTTTGAATGAAATATTTTGTTTGACAAAAACTAGTAAGCTAGTTTGAAATTTGTGCGTCATGCATAGCTAACGTTATACATAGTTTAGTAACTACTTTTTAATATATATATTACACTGCATTCGCAAAGATTATTTTTTCGAAGGAAAAAAAAAAATACCAGTTTTTTAACTTGTATATAATTCAAAATAGTTAAATTAGTTTCTTTTCAAAGACGTAAACGTATGTCGTTAAAAAGAGAAACTCCTTCGATACTTTTATCACAAGTAGCGTTGAAACAACATATAGACGATTTTCATTTTTTTTTTTTCATTTTTTTTTTTTTTTAATAAAAATAAAAAATTAAAAATAAACTAAAATGAATATCATAACGCTTTGGTTAATTTTAACGATACTATATTCACACAGCGTAAATCTAAATATACCAGAACTTGGTAATTTAGTTTTGATTAAAGTGTTGATTGTTTTAGGTTTTGGACTGGTTCATAAACTTAAAGTGCACTTTTCAAAACATTATATAATAATAATAAGAAACCCACTGACAAACAAAAGGTTTTCGCTGTTATCTTCGGTAAGTAAAAAAAAAAAAAATATATATATATATATATTTTACATTCTCACATATTTTTCAATTTAATCTTGATAGACGTATACCACCTATGTAACATCATTATTAATTGACGAAGATGTCTCGAATGAATTAAATACGTCATCACCAACGCCACCATCATCATCACCATCACCACCACCACCACCACCGCCAACGCATGAACGTCAGCACCAACAAAATACTTCGATTGCTAGAATGCAAGAAGAAAATCGACAATTATTGTTAAGATTAGCTGACCTTGAAAATGAAAAGACGACGAGTAATAGTGACAACGAAGATGATGATGATAGTAAACGTTTACGTGGCTTAAGTAGGTCACAGTCACGATTGAGATCACGATCACGTAACAGTAATAAATACAAATATTCACGAAGCAATACTGGTACATTTAGTAAACATGCATCTAGTGTATTTTCGGCATCAACATCAGCAAATGGAACCTTGTTTACGGACATTACAAATTATTCATTTGATTTTGAGGAGATAAAATCAGAGATGTCAAATAATAATTGGGAGGTTATTGATGAAAGGGCTGAATCGCAAAATAAGCAACTTTATTTATCAAAAATTAAAAATTCAGTAGAAGAACTTGATACACGGGATGTATTTAATATGGAGCAAATTAATTCTGGTGCATTGGGTAAAATTTATAAATGCACACATCGAAAAACACAACAAATATTAGCGATTAAATCAATAACTCTATCCTCTTCAAAGCTTCTCAATGTAACATACTCGGAAATCATGGCTTGTCGTCGGTTACGTCACCCAAACATAATACATAACTTTAAACAATATATTTACGAAGATTACTCTTCAACAAATGATTATAATTCCGAATTACCTAATTACGTATTATGTTTATTAATGGAACATTGTGAACCGGGTTCTTTATGGGATGTGAGACATAAACGACCATCAAAAAGGTTAACTGAACAAGAAATTGCTTTTGTATGTAGAGAAGTTTTAAAAGGTTTAGAATACATTCATTCAATGGGAATAATCCATAGAGATATTAAAGCTCAAAATATTTTAGTATCAAATAATGGTACAATTAAAATTGCTGATTTTGGTTCTTCCTCTTTACATTCAAGAGCTTCATTAAAGCTTGGAACTTTATATTGGATGGCACCTGAAGTATTACATAATCAAATTTATAATAGCAAAGTTGATATATGGTCTTTAGGTATTATGGCAATAGAACTAATCGATGGTCGTCCTCCTTGGTTTCCATTAGGTCAAAGAAGGGTTATCGAATTAATAAGAACGGTAGGAACTCCTCCACTTCCATCAGATATATCTTTGGATTTTGAAAATTTTTTGAGGGATTGTCTTGAAGTAAATCCTGATGAAAGACCATCCGCTACTGATTTATTAACCCATCATTTT